ACCTGGTGGTGATACAGTTGTTTGTGGGACACTCACACTCTAATGATACTTCACCCATTCTCACGTAAGCATGCTCAACAAAGTCATTGGTTCAGCTCACCATGTTAGACTCCGGTGGACTTCTTACTTTAGGTTTGTTATCAGCATTCTGTTTGGGATAAGTAGGTGTGCTGGTTCATTCTTGTCACCTAGAGTCATCTGTGAAGAGGGAATCTCACAGTAGAACTGTCCAGATCAGATTGGCCTGTGACCATGTCTATGAGGCATTTTCTTAATCATTAGTTGTTGTTGAAGGGCCCAGCACACTGTTGCAGTGCCATCCCTGGGCAGGTAATCCTGAGCTGTGCAAGGAAACAGCTGAGTAAGCCAGGGGGGAGAAAGCTAGAGAGCTGAATTTCTCTGTGGTCTGCCCTTCAGTTCCAGTCACCAGGATCCTGTCTTGAACTCCTTTCCTGCCTTCCCTTGACGATGTCCTGTAGAGTGTAAGATGGAAAAAAAGAAATTCTTTCCTCCCCAAGTTGTCTTGGGTCAATATTTTATCAGAGTTACAGAGACCTAAGTAGGGTAATAGACATTTATTTACATCTCCCCAGAAAAATTTGATGAACTATACTGAAAACAATGAGCTATAGTTGAAAGAAGAACCATACATGTGCTGTTAAATTCACTTCTCTATCTTCTAACAAATGAAATTTTTACTAAGACTATTCAGTGATAAAGCTTTTGCTGCTTGAAACTACGTCCAGTTTAAATGCCAGGGAAGCTCTATGCTTTCAAACCTCCTGTTTTAAAGTCTCTGTTATTGGCTCCTGAATGACTAGCTAGTCAATTAGTCAGAGTTTTTGATACGGCAGAATCAATAGGATGTGACTTCCTAGATGTGTAAGAGAACATCTGTTCTGAGAATAGGCTGGCACATGACTGTGGAGGCTGAGAAGTCCCATAAGTGCCATCAACAAGATGTAGATCCAGAAAAGCTGGGGATTCAGTCTGAGGCCAGACATTTGATAAATTGGGGGGCCTCCAAGTACATAGCCAAAGCTTTGATAACTGCGTAGGTGAGCAGCTGACTCCTATCAGCTCCACATAGGAGCTCTGATATCCCAGGGCATGGGGACACAGCCTTTTTTATTCTACCTCAGGGAGTTGGATGATGTCACCAATATCACTGACAGCGATTTTCTTTACACACATCAACTGACTCAGATGTGAATATCTTCCAGAAATATCTTCAGAGACATACTCTATTGTGATATTATAAAAGTTACCTGGACATTACTTAGCTCAGTCAAGTTATCACATAAAGTTAGCCATTATAACTAAGTCTAGGACCTTTGCTGCAATGTTTTACAAATGAGTTATGAGTACTATAATTTCTATTCAATTAAATTAAATATTTTCCTCCTCCAGGAGAGCCTGGCTTGTTCTTCAAAAGCTGTACTTGCTTGACTGTGTCTTCTTTGTAGAATACTCTAAAATTATACTGAGAAATTCCAACTTTGGAAGTACTCAATAAGTTTGTGTATGAGCAATTGAAGGGTGTATCCATTATAAATTCTCAATAAGTTCATAGCAAAGGAATGACCTTTTTCACTAAAAAATATCATTTCAAAAACTAGAAATCTGTAGTTCAATTCCATACATCTAAAATTCTAGTTATTAAAAGTATATATTCTCAAATAAGGAGTTTTGTCTACTACACCAAAAGACTCATGTTATTTCTAAAATTCTAAAGAAGTGAATTTCTGTATCATCCCCTTCTTTTTATATTACTATGCAATGCAAGCAATGCACAAACAGGCCTTACTAAATAAAAATTAAGTGAAGACTTTATGGTTACATAGAAATTGCTGAAATTGACAGTGATATACATTATTCTGTAAACACTTTATGAGACAGAGTATGGGTAGATACTGAAATACCACTTAAATAACTTTGTATCTCTTAATATTGTGGTCGAGAGAAAACCATGGCTTCTCACTGTTGTCATTCTTAAAAAAAGAAATTCTTAAATGTTTGATGTAGTGAATTGGTGTTGGTACCAGACTGGGGAAATGAAGAGGCACAAAGGATATCAGAGAAGATACCAAATGTCCTACCTTCATTCTGACACCTAGCTAAGGCCTCTGTTCAAGTTCACATTTCCCAATTTGGGGATAGGAAAAGACAACAGAGGAAGTGAGGGTCTTGGCTCTGGAAACAGTTCTCCTAAGATTCAGTGCTGTTTAACTTTTCCTGGAGAGCTATTTAAAAATGTCTGTCTGTTCATGCCAGATAAAGAAGGCACCAACAGATCAAAGAGAGGATTGGTGGTGGTTTGACTGAGAATGTTCCCCATAAGCTGCAAGTATTGGGGCATTTTATTAGCACCTTTGATGGCGCTATTTGGCAGGCTCTAGAAGGTGTGGCCTACCCAGAGGAAGCACAGGCCTGGGGCTGAGCTTTAGACCTTCCAGTCTTTCTGCTTCCTGTGCCTGCTTGAAGATATGATCACTCAGCTTTCTGCTCCAGCCATTTCTGCCACCATATCTCTCCTGCCATCATGGACTCTTACCTCTTTGGAACTGCAAATGAACTCTATAAGTGGTCTTGCTCATGGTGTCTGTGGCCCAAATTCTCTCTGGGTCTCCGGCACAATCAGACAAACCATATGATATATTTTATGTATATTTATTAACTTACAAAGGAATAAGTACCCAGTACCTAGCCCTGCACCGTGCTTCAGAGCCCACCTTATCAGACCATGCCACATCCATAATTCACTCACACCTCTGGGGCCAGTGATCACCCCAAGTCCATTAAAAGGTCTCAGTCCATTCTGTCTTTCAGCTGTTGCACGTGGCCTTCCCACGGCTCATATGCTTCCCCATGGCTCACGGCTTCTCTGGTACAGCTCGTGGCTTCCATTCCAAGATGGCTCCCAGCCATACCCCTATAGTCCACACTCTGTGGCAGGCCCCACCCATTGGAGGAACTAGCCAGTCGGGAGACACTCCACCCCTTTCCTCCACCCTTACAATCTTTCCGTCCATCTTTCACTAAAGTTCCTGAGCCTTGGAGGGGGTGATAGATGTAGGGTGATCTCTCTTGTATCATGGTGAGAGAGTGGCTTCTTGGGCCTCCCCATTAGTCATCTTTAGGCTGTGGCCACTGATCTATCTCAGTGGTGTTTCTTCTACTATAAAGACAAATGGAAGGAAGTAGACACATTTAAACAAACATGAATGTAAATACAGATGCCTAGAGGATCTCCCAATAGGTGTATGATACTCATTAAACAATATACTTATGATGGCTTCTCCACTAGGGTCTGTAGCCTTTCTTGACAAAAGGCGTTGGCCTGGTCTACAGCACCAGATGTGTGTTCCACCCCTAGGCTTATTCAATTAGAAATTTGTCAGTTGTACGTATGTGGTCGAGCCATTATTGCACTTGCAGGTATTGCTTGGCATGTCCATAGTGTGCAGCACACAGGGTCCATTGTTGAGTAGACTTATATGGGATCCTTTCATCCTCAGCCATCTGTATAGACCCTTCTGGCAATATGAAGATCATCTATCCAGTGGCACAGAGTTTTGTGGCTTAGCCTCAGTTCCATCTCTTCTTCTTCTCCCGTGCTCACAACATGCAGAGTCCTCAGTAATATGGACTTACTGACCTTTCTAGTGTACAACCGACATTAACAGCAATAGCCTTGGTGAATTGGAGGACCTCTATGATCTCTCTCTGACCAGCAGCTCATAGGGAGTCAACCCATCCCTAGTACTGTAGATTTCCTTAACCATTGACTATAGCTGGCATTTGCTTCTTCAGGTATCTTTCAAATGGGTTTCACATCTGTAAAACATTCAAAGGAATGTTAACATTATATATTAAATCACTCATAGACAAGGTCTTATAAAGCATAGAAAGGTTTTGTCTATTCGTATTAACTGTTTTCTCCATAGATCCTTGTTAGGTACCATAGCATGGGTATGAGGCATTAATTTGGTTAGCTCATTACCATTTTTAGTTATCCCTTTGGATTCTTCTATTCTTGATACACTTACAGGTGTTGGCTCCAGTTGCCTGACCCTGCACTGGGCTGAGGCAGGGGGCTTCCCCTGTTCCCCCTGCACTTGTTGGTTCCCTGAGTCAGACAGGCTCTGAGTCTGCCTCCTGACTGTAGCCACATCTGTCATCTTCCCATTGACCACACCAGGTTTCTGAGGGAGAACTTGGGAGGAAAACATGCTTCCACCCCTAGTATAGCCTTTATCAGAAGAGAAATGCATCTTATTTAATCCTTGGGTATTCTTAACCACCCCTTATACAGTTGTTATTCTTAGAATGTCTTTTGTAAACTGTTCTTATGATTTTAAGGCCCTCCAGAAATGCCTTAGTACCAACTATGGTTTTCTATCATTTTTTTTCTCTGGAGATTTGGGTTTAACATAAGTCTTACCACATTTGTCTTCGAGTAACCCAAATAGACCATTTCTTCTGTCTGGTCTTCTTTATATCTCTTATAGGGTGTTCTGTTATTTCACAGACATGTTTTACATGCTGGTCAGAATCATTTAGATTTGCCAAAGCCTCTCTCCCTTTACAAAGATGCTGTCCCATCAAAGGGCTTAGTAAAGCCATTAAAGCCCCATACCATTTTTGAGGTCGCAGTTGAATTAAGCTTTCTTTCATATCTCTGGTGAACACAATTTCATCTGGCCTAGTGAACTGGACATCATATGTTGCTTTCCTTATACTTAGTTCTCTCAGTAATGCCTGCCCCTCCTTTATTTATTTATTTATCTATTTATTTATTTGGGGGTGGGAGTGAACATGCCAAGGCGCATGTATGAAGGTCAAAGGACATGTTGCCTCAGTCAGTTCTCTCCTTCCACTATGTTGGTCCCAGGGATCGAACTTAGGTTCGGGCAGCATCCTCACTTGTGAGTCATCTTTCTGACCCATAGATCCTATTTTTTTAAAGACTTGGGATAACCCTAGAATGTGCATTTTAATTACTTTTCCTTCCATGTGGCTTCCAAAATTTTTATCTGCAACAAATTTAGAGAAACATGTTTTAAGACACAGATAAGAGAAACAAACACTCCAGTGAGTGCTGAAGGGATGGCTGGGGTAAGGGCTCTTACTGCGCAAGCCTGACAACCTGAGCTCCATCTTCAGAGGGAGAGAACTGACTCCATAAATTTGCTGCCCAACCTTCACTTATATGCCATAACCATACACACACACACACACATACACACACACACACACACATACACAAATGGAATGGAAATATCTGGTATCTGTTATATGGTTTCAAACTTACTTAAATATATGTTATTTCTAAACAGGATCACTTGAAGAGGGTGGAATAAAATAGAATTTCTTTTACTAGTCCAAGAGTCATACTTTCCCATCTTTACATATTCATTAAGACTAATAA